ACACACACACACACACACACACACACACACACACACACACACACAAGAATGGGGTCGGGTAGAAGCCTAATGCAAGGACTCCTGCCAACAGTGGATGCATAGCCAGGGCTGGCCATCCCCTGTAATCAAATTGGTGACTACTCCAATTGTTATCAAAGAGCCTTCATCCTGTTACTGATGAAGGCAGATTCAGAGACCCACAGCCAAATATTGGGCAGTGCTTAGAGAGTCTTGCTGAGGAGAGGGAGGAGAGCTTGTAGGAAATAGGGGGCGTCACGATATCAGGGAGGTGCTTGGTCTTATGGCAGCTTAATATGCCATGCTTTGCTGATACCCATGGGAGTCCTGCTCCTTTCTGAGCAAATATAAAGGAGGGGTGGTTGGGGGTGGTGGAGGGGAGGAAGCAGGGAGGGAGTGGGAGGAGAGGGGGGAGGGGAGGACAGAGTCAGGATATAAAATAAATACATTGTTTAAAATGACCAATAATAAAAACCAGCCTGTGGTGCCAGGGGCTAATCAAGTATCTTGCTGCTTGGGACTAGATCCTGGCTATCTAGAAGGAACCCTCCTTTTCTGTCTGCCATTTTCTGATTGTGACTCTGGGGTGCCAATTGCAGCTAGTTGCTGAATCTTTGATAATTTTCTCTGCCAATTTCCCCAGGATCTATGATTATATGGTTGAATTATAACACTTCATAATATATTTGTATCTATTAGAGTGTCCTACAAAATCTGCTTGGACTTAAAAGAAATGCTTCTTTAAAGCTCTGTTCCAAAATATCCAATTACCAAAAAATATCACACAGCATCCTAATGACGAAAAATAATTTTAGGGGTACTTATTTTAGAACAGAAATGCTTAAAATATATGTATAATCTCAAAAATTCTCTGTGAATATATGTAACTTTTTATGTATATTTGCTCATGTATCTAAATTCAGGTTGTCTCATTTTTCTTTATTAGTTGAAATTAATATTCATAAAAATTTTATTCAAATATAATACATGAAATTGTGTATTTAGAAAAATCCACTCCATTCCATACACTAAATTTCCTTTTCAATCACCACTATCACTGTTCCAACTGAAGTTCACATATATTCTCTCTCTTTAACAACAACTGAGTTCATTAAGGCACTTGTGAATTCATAGATACTGGACCATCTACTGGAAAATGGGAAGCCTCTTTTATCAAGCATTCCTGAGAAAATCTGACTCTTCCTCTATCAGTTCATTAAATACCAACAGGCACTCTGATGAGGGTTAGGATAAATGAGTACTGTTTCTAGCCATATTGCAATTTTCCCTGGGTGTATATTGTATAAGAATTGTGTATGGAAAACCAGATGATGGGGAGTCATGATTGCTACTGATCATAGATAGCCATTAAATCCTAGTTTGATGCAGATGTGTATTACCACTGGCTGATTTGAAACAGACTATCTCCAACGAATAGCATTTGCTAAACAATCTAGCTTAGCTGGCCAGTAAAACTCAGAGATCTTTCTGTAAACACCTCTCCCTCATGTCATATAATTGTATTTTAATACCAATATGCTTGCTTTTTAATATGTGTTTTATGGAAATAAATACCAGGTACTCATGTTTCCAAATAATCATGTTGCAAGTAATTAGCTCTACAAGGTTTTAGAATAAATATTGTGACCTCAGAACTTATCTCAACAAATTTCAGCTCATATATGAGAATCTCAGGGCTGTTCCAATTCTGCCTGCCATGTTTATGGTGCTTCCTAAAAATATCATATTCCACAGTCCAAAAGATGGAAAAAAATCAGAATTTGAAAATCATAGCATACAGGAAAACTAAAATTAGTAAAGCAGGTTTTCCAAAGAATTACTGTCATGAAATTTATGTAAATGTTAACAATAAGCATTGTATTAAAGTTCACATATAAAGTCCCAAACCATGTGTCTTAGTTACCTTTCAATTGCTGTGACAAAATACTGTGAGCAAGGCAACTAAGAAGAGAAAGTGTTTAATTTGGGGCCCATGGTTCCTGATAGAGTTTGACCATCATGGCAGGGAGAATGTAAAGGCAGAATATTTTCTCTTGTTGGATGGCCACAATTTTTTTTCATTACCATTGAAGTAAAAAAAAAAATAAAATCATTAGGGTAAGTGGATATGGGCATTGTTTCATTGTTCTGGCTTCACTCAGGAATTTCTTCAGATTTTCTGATTCAGGTTGTCACAAACATGGCAAGTACTAGGGATTTCCCACAGCAGTTTAAAGACAGAAAGAAAGAATGTGTGTGTGTGTGTGTGTGTGTGTGTGTGTGTGTGTGTGTGTGTTTAATGAATAGTAACAACAATGACCAAATATAGAATATAAATGGGCTCAACAAAAAGCCATAACATGGGGAAAAACAGAGGTAGTGGGTAGTAAGCAATGCATGTCATGTATTCATTTATTTAGTCAAAGTTTTGCTGTGTAGCCAAGACTTACCTAGAACTCATGAGCCTCCTTCTTCTGTCTTTTTTTAAAAAAACATCATTTACTAATTTTAATGTAGCTCTTATGTCTGTACAGATTCCATCACTTTTTTAGCCACTTTACTAATTGCAAGTAACTTGTCATTGCATGAAGTAGAAGGGTTACAATTGCCTCAACTGCTTAGAATGGGAAATGTCAACTTCATTTTCATCCCCAAAAAAGATTTGTTTCACTTTATCAGAGGTGATGCTTGTTATCCAAGGATCAATCAATTAATCAATAGCCCAAAGCCAGCCCAAATATTGTCTGCCTAATCATTTGATCTATAACAATAAATTCCTGGAGTGGCTGTACAATTACAGGTAATGTGATCATTATCACAGAAGACCCAGCTAGGTACAGATACAATATGATCACTTACCAATAGGCATCCTCCAATATGGTAGGACAACATAATCACTGTTCAGCAGGCTGGGTTCCTAACCTAGCCCTGACTAGAATATCACTGCCTATGCATTCTGAGTTCTGGGATTATAGGCATGTGCTACTGTGCCTGGCTATATCAGAGGTATTAATGAGGAAGATAATTGTGTCATTGAGGTTCCTATAGTAAGCCACCTGGGCAAGAATAATGCCTGCTGGAGAGTCCTTCTGAATACCTGAACTGGAACAATACCTGGAAGTGGAAGTCAATGTTGCTCCTGTTCTGTACAGGGAATGCCTAGGAGAAAGTGGGGTGAGAAGGGATGTCAAGGAGGTCTCTTGCTCCATTCCATCTCAATGGAAAAGGTCATCACTTGTTAAAGTTTTGTGGGACTTAGTGACTCAGTGAACAGCAAGGTTAAAGAAGAAGAGGATATAAAGTTCAGGAGATGGGAAGTTTTCCTGCCTATGGGTCATATTCTTCAGAGGATACAATTCAAGGTAGAGTGAAACAGAAGAAGATACAAATTTTAATATGGGGATTCTTCTAGTTTTCTTTTTTGTTGCTGTGATAAATATCATGATCAAAAAAAAAAAAAACTGGGAAGAAAGGGCTTATTTGGCTTCTACTGACAGGTCATAGTCCATCATTGAAATTAGAGCAGGAAATGAAGTAGAAACCATGGAGATAAAATGATTACTGGCTTGCTGAC